CTTTGCTGGCTGAGGAATTCTGGGAGTTGAAGTCCACAAGTCTTAAAGTTGCCAAGGTTGGACACCCCTGATTTAGACAGAAGGGAAAAGGGGAAGAACCAGAGAAAACTGACTTGGTTTTCCTCCTGTGTTATAAAAATAATTCAGTAAAAGAAATACACAGACAAACCACAAGCAATAAATCTTACTTTGAGATCAGAGGTTTCTTTCATGAGCAATTTGGAACACGAACAGCCATCATAATATAACAACATTTCAGTAAGCTAGTACTTACTAGCAATCCATTGCAAATGAGTTAAAGAGACAGCAGCTAACTCCAGAAAGGATAGCTACTATCAGTGGCCCTGATTTGAGATTTACTCCCTTCTTTTATACCCTTCTTTTTCTGAAGTCCACCCAGTGGTATGTAATCTTACTTGGATGTACTTCCCTGTTCCCTCATACTGTCCATCAGTTAATACCCACTTGTAGGTAGATGCCAACTCGCTTACCATCTGCTACTTTCAGTTCCCCTTTTTCTCAATGTCCCAGGCATTCGTGATCCAAAGTAGTTCTACTTTTGATTGTCCAGCAAATATATGCTTTTTGCAGAAATAGCAGATAGCAAACATACTGCTGTGCCTGCAAAATCGGCTGAGCAGATTGCAAGTATTTCACCATGCTTGCAAAATCAGCTCAGCCGGCGTTATTATATATTGTTAATTTGAGGCCTTCAGTTAGGCAGAGGCCTACACCAACTTTAGGGCCTAGTTGTCCTTTTCTCACACACGGTAGAAGTTTCTTGTGCAAAATTCAGTTTTTGAGCGATCGGGTCAAAACCTGGCAACCGAAGATCCAAGGGAATCCTAAGTTTAGAGCATTTCCTGAAGTTGATTTTGTTCGTTTTGGAATGATAAAGTTCTCAGCAGCTTCTGAAAGGACATTTTTCAGTGTCCCTGACAAATATAAAGGCCGCTGCTGATCATGTGACTGAAGACAACCTCTTTGTAACTCTGGTGTAAGACAGCCCATGTCTTGCCAAATTCTGGGGTCAAAATTTCTTTTTGTTATAATAACATCTCATGACTTGTGCCCATACCAAAAAGGAAGAATTTGAAATTCTCCAATAGAAATGATTGCAGTATGTTAATACAAAAGGCTCTGTAGATTGTACATAACCTTTTATGTTTAACCAACTACTTGTGAAAGCATTTCATTGCTGGAAAGCATCTCTTATTAATCCAGTTATGTTGAGAGTGCATACAACATACTAGGATAAAGCAGAATGGGTGAATGTACATGTCAATATAATTACTTAATAGTTCAGTTGTTTGCAAACCTAGCCAATTGGATTAATTCAGTAAAATTCAGTGATTTATTTGCAATGGGTTGATACCGTTTTAGCTTTTCCTGGTTATTTTCACTCAATCAATCACTCCTTGACTCTAATCCTGATCTTTCACGTTTTCGTTTTCTAAAACATCCCCAGCATCTGAAAAATACTGCAATGCTTCTTTTTACTGCTCTACAGGCAATCCTCGACTTACGAGCCTTAAATTTCTGTTGCTAAGTGAGACAGTTGTTAAGTGTCCCATTTTGCGACCTTTCTTGCCACAGTTGCCACAGTAAATCACTGCAGTTGTTGAGTTAGTAACCCGGCTCTTAAGTGAGTCTGGCTTCCCCATGGACTTGGCTTGTCAGAAGGTCGTAAAAGGGGATCACATGACCCCAGGGCATTGCAACCGTCATAAATATGAGTCAGTTGCCAAGCGTCTGAATTTTGATCACATGACCCTGGGGATGCTGCAATGGTTGTAAGTGTAATAAATGGTGAAAAGTCACTTTTTTCAGTGCCGTTGTAATCTCGAGCGGTGACTAAACAAACTGTTGTAACTCAAGGACTACCTGTACACACTCAACATACTCAGTTGTTTTGGTTCCTGAATCCTTTTCTTGATCTCATATAGGTAAGCACCCAGCGTTCACTGTCCTTAACAGAAGTAAATAAATGCACGTAATACAGGATCAAACAATAATTTCCTAACACTAGTTTTCCTTTAAGATAGCACAAGATTCTACTCACTTTCTATGTAGCCACATTATAGCAATAGCAATAGCACCTTGACTTATATACCGCTTCACGGTGCTTTACAGCCCTTTCCAAGTTGTTTACAGAGTCAGCATATGCCCCCCAAATAATCTGGGTCCTCATTTTACCCACCTTGGAAGGACAGAAGGCTGAGTCAACCTTGAGCCGGTTCCGATCAAACTCCTGACAGTGGGCAGAGTCAGCCTGCAATTCTGCATTCTAACCACTGTGCCACCACGGCTCATTACATACATACTCTTGGCTCACCTTTACCTTTCCTCAGATTGTATTTAATATTAGGATAATAAAACCTCAGAGATAACTTTCTGGGTTAAATATGATGGATGAAGCCTTTTTTTCAAGATTGGAGGAATTGTTCTTTATTTTTTTATTTAGATTAATTGTCAAATCAATCATTATCAAAAAGTGCCTCACCTCACAACACACTATAGCACAACCAACAGAGCTATGAAAAAGATACTACCATACATCAAAAATATCTCAGAAACAACCAACAGACTATTTATAATCAGAGTTGGAAGGGACTTTGTAGGTCATCTAGTCCAACCCCTTGCCCAAGCAGGAGACACTACACCATTTCTGGCAGATGGGAGTCCAGTTTCTTCTTGAAAGTTTCAAGTGATGGCACTCCCACAACTTCCAAGGGCAAGCTATTCCATTGGTTGATTGTTCTCACTGTCATAAAATTTTTCCTTATTTCCAGGTTAAATCTCTCCTTGTTCAATTTCCATCTATTATTCCTTGTCTGGCCTACAGGCACTTTAGAAAATAGCTTGACCCCTTTCTGTATTTTTTCTGTATAGAGAATCATGCTCTGTGCTATTTGAATCATACAGCATCACTGTAGCACACACACAGATCAACTAAAGCACTCCAAAACTTTATAACTTAACTAAGAAACCCAATAGCTCAAGAAATAAAAACAGATGTTACCTGCAACATACAGTGTAAAGGCTGTAACAGCCACTAAGTCAGACAAGAAGGAAACTAGCCGAGTGCATGCATGAAAACTCCTTAATCTCGCCATACACGGACAGATTTGATGATAATTTCAACTAGGAAACTATGAGCATCCTAGACCCAGCTAAATCCAAAAATGCTAGGGAATTTCTGGAAACTTGGCATTCAAACCAATCAGCCATCAGTTGGCACACAGAGTTTGCACACCGTTAATTAAAAGAGACAATAAAAAAGCTTAAAAAGGAAACAAAACAATGAGAACAGACCATTGCCAGCATTCAGATAAGCAGGGAATAATACCAAACAAACAATGAAAAAGAAAACAGTCAAGGAACTACCAAGGAGAGCCTGTTCCTCGGGATAATCCAGTGTCTATCCTTATCACTTCCTATCCTCTTCCTCTCCTTCTCAGCCACATGATGGCTTGCTTAACAACCACCGTTACTTATGATTGTAATGAGCAGTCTCTGTTACGCTTGTAAGTTAAGGACTAACTCTGCTTCATTTTTATTCTGCCTTTCCCCTCCAAATATTCAAAAAAGCCGCCCCCTTTCCCTGTTTTATCCTTATACCAATCTTAATGAGATAGATCAGACCAGAAGAGATTAGTCTTAGTGATTCAATGAGTTTCAGTGCTTATAGCGGCGAGGCACGGTGGCCTAGCAGTTAAGATGCTGGGTTTGTCAACCGGAAGGTTGGTAGTTTGAGATCAGAGTGCCGCACAACTGGGTGAGCTCCCGTTACTTGCCTCGGCTCCTGCCCACCTAGCAGTTCAAAAGCATGTAAATGCGAGTAGATAAGTAGGTACCACTTTGGTGGGAATGTAACAGCATTCCATGCGTCTCAGCATATAGTCATGCTGGCCACGTGACCATGGAAGCCTCTTCAGACAATGATGGCTCTCTCTATTAGGAAGCAGAGATGAGCACCGCCCCCCTAAAGTCAGACATGACTGGACAGGGGAAACTTACCAATTAATTACCATTAATCATAATTAATCCTAATGATTCTTTGAGTTTCAGTGTTATAGAGGGGAGGGTGGTGTCTTATCTCACTCATGGGGGAACAAGATGGATCATCTCCCAGGAGCATCGCTTAGCCTGCAGCGAGTCTGAATTATTCTAGCTTTCTTTTTTAACTTACATCCAGACAAAGGGGAACCTTGCCTGTGGCTATGCCAGGAAGCCAACCGCCTGGTTCTGACTTTCTGGCAGGTGGGAAGTTGGCCTGTGCTTTCTGGCATTTCATAGATCTGCTAGCACAATCTGGGCACGGAGGCCGATGTCCGTTCGCATTTTTATGATGCATAGACAACAGCTGATCCTGGGCCAGGAAATCGACCCTTGCACAAAGAAAACCAGGCTGTAATGTAGAAGGCTCACCTCCCCTTGACTGTTCCTGCCTGACAAAGGTTTTAGCCTGTTCTCCTACCTGCATCTTCAAGGAAGGGAGGGAAGGAGGAAAAGAAAGAGAGAGAGAGGGAGAGAGAAAGAGGGAGGAAAGGAGAGAGAAAGAGAGGGAGGGGGGAGGGAGAGAAAGAGAAAGAGAGAGAGCGGGAGCGGGAGAGAGAAAGGGAGGGAGAGAAAGAGAGAGGGAGGGAGAAAGAGAGAGAGGGAGAGAGAAAGAGAGAGGGAGGGAGAGAAAGAGGAGAGGGGAGGGAGAGAAAGGGAGAGAGAAAGAGGGAGGGGGAAAGAGGGAAGGAGAGAGAGGGGGAGAGAGAGAAAGGAAGGGAGAGGAAGGGAGAGAGAAAGAAGGAGGGAGGGAGGGAAAGAGAGAGAGAGTGGGAGGGAGAGAAAGAGAGAGGGAGGGAGAAAGAGAGAAAGAAGGAGAGAGAAAGAGGGAGGGAGGGAGAAAGAGGAGAGGGGAGGGAGAGAAAGGGAGAGAGAAAGAGGGAAGGGGAGAGGGAAGGAGAGAGGTGGAGGGAGAGAAAGAGGGAGGGAGAGGAAGGGAGAGAGAAAGACAGGGAGGGAGAGAAAGAGGGAGGGAAAGGGAGGGAGAGAAAGAGGGAGGGGAGGTGAGAGGGAAGGAGAGAGGGGGAGGGCAAGAGAGAGAGGAAGGGAGAGGGAGAGGAAGGGAGAGAGAGAGACAGGGAGGGAGGGAGAGAGACAGGGAGGGAGGGAGAGGGAGAGAAAGAGGGAGTAGGGAGAGAGAAAGGGAGGGAGGGAGAAAAAGAAGGAGGGAGAGAGAAAGTGAGGGGGAGAGAGAGAGAGGCAGAGAGAGATTTGATTCATATTGAGTCATGATAAATAAATAGTCAATAAATGAATGGTTGTAAATCGAAGACTACCTGTATTTGCAAGGGGTTTTCCTGCTATATCCTCCACTCTGTTCCAGTCTATAAGAGCCTCGCTGTTATGCCATCACTACCCTTCTTCCTTCCACATGCTCTTCAATCTTCTGAATTACAGCTGGTCCTCGATTTATGACCACACTCGAGCCCAAAATTCCTATTGCTAAGTGAGGCAATTGTCAAACGCTACAAACGCTCTGAAGTTAAATCAGTGATTCCTTTATTAGGAGCGCCAGCAATCCCGGCTAAAAGTTTCTCTCTCACCACAAGTTAAAAAGTCTGTCCAGCAGGGAGATGAATAGATGTGGCTGACTTTGCCACATCTATTCATCTCCGCCTCCTGCCTTTTATCCTCAGAGCTAGTGAGGCTTTGCTAGCAGCCATGGTTCTTCTGTCCCAAGGACCAGCCCATAGATTTCCACTGCTCTCCTCTCCTCTGCCTTCTGTGCATCTGAGTGTCTGGCACTGTACCCAGCTGCTCCTCCTCATCAGCCACCTCCAGACCTGGGGGCTGTTGACTCTCCATCTGAGGGCTGAGGATGGCCCAGGCTCTGCCTCTGTCTCTCTCTCTCTGTCTGACAACTCCATTTCCTCTTCCCCCTTGGAGCTCTCAGGTTGCCTTGATGCTGACCCTGACTCCCACACCTCCTCCTCCTCTGATTCGGCTGCTGGAGGGGCCAACAGCCGACAGGCCAGAACAGAACTACCTGTATTGTAAGAGAAGGACAGACAAAGCCTGAGGGTGGAGTCAAGAGAGGAACTGGCTTAGAGTCATTATGTTCTCGCAAGCGGTCTAAATCCAATCTCTCTTGAATGCTATTAACTCCTATCTAGCTCCAATTTAATGCTGACCGTTAGTTGGCTAGATTCATGTTTATAAGTATGAGCAATAAATCAGCTTGACTAGAACTTAAGGTTTCTTCCTGATTCTTCACACCTGATATGATTTATGTATATTTTCCCCTTATAAATATTGTGGTAATATTAGTGTAAATGAAGACTTGAGGATTTCTTAAAGGTTGACTGATTTCAAATAACATCTTGTATATGTGTAACCTTTACTGCTACAATTGATTTTGTGCTATTTATGGTTGAATAATTATTGATGAATGTGCTACATCCGTAGGTTTATTTTATTTTGTAATGTTTTGATATTGAAGTCATGAACGGTTTTGAAGAATCTTTTGCTTCATCGATTGCCTTTTTTCAATGAATAAATATATATGTACTCAATTAAAGGAGGCCAATAAACCCATTACTGAAATCATAATAATCAGCAGTTTTAAAAAAAAATCTTAACTAATTGGATGTACCTCTCTTAATTAAATGCTGTTTAAGTCAATGTATTAATTGGCAAAGAATCAAAGTTCTCCCCTTAATCAATTGATTCACCAGGCCAATCAATCCGTTGACTCAACTGATTAAAAAGTTTTTATTCAATTAGAATTGCAGTATATAATACTTTGCATAATTTTTTTTCTTTAACTTTACAATCAGTGCAACAGAATTTAAACAGAATAGTACAGAATAACATTATAGGAGCAAGATTGTTCTTATGTACAGTGCAGGCAGTCCATGACATATAACCATAATTAAGCCCAGAATTATGCTAGTTGTTACGGGGTAACCATATGACCATGTACGATTTAAAAACCCTTTTTGTGGTGTTTGTTAAGTGAACACCACAGTCATTAAATCAGCCTAACATCAATACCCGGGAAGATACTGGAAAAGATAATAAAAAAACAGATCTGCCAACATCTAGAAACAGGTAAAGTAATAACTAGCAGTCAGCACGGGTTTGTTAAAAACAGATCATGCCAAACCAATCTTATTTCATTCTTCAACACAGTGATGAAATTAGTAGATCATCAAAATACTGTGGACATAATATATTTAGTTTTCAGCAAGGCATTCAATAAAGTAGACCACAACCTACTTCTTAGTAAGCTAGAAAAAAAGTGGGATAGATAGCACCACCACTAGATGGATTCGCAACTGGCTGGCAAACCGTACTCAACAAGTAGTCCTTAATGGGTCTAAGTCTACATGGAGGGAAGTAAGCAGTGGGGTGCCACAAGGTTCCGTCTTAGCCCAGTACTCTTCAATATCTTCATTTACGACTTAGATGAGGGAATAGAAGGGGAACTTATCAAATTTGCAGATGACACTAAGCTGGCAGGAATAGCTAACACCCAAGAAGATAGGCTCAAGATCCAGATGGATCTTGACAGACTAGAACACTGGGCCATATCTAACAAAATGAAATTCATTGTAGAGAAAAGTAAAGTCCTACACTTAGGCAAGAAAAACCAAAAGTACACATACAGACTGGGTGAAACCAGGCTCAATAGCAGTAACTGTGAGAGGGATCTTGGAGTCTTAGTGGACAACCAGCTAAATAGGAGTCAGCAATGTGCAGCAGCAGCCAAAAAAGCTAATGCAATCCTAAGTCATATTAACAGAGGGATGCAGTCAAGATCAAGGGAAGTACTAGTACCACTCAACAAAGCCTTAGTAAGACCACACCTAGAGTACTGCATCCAGTTTTGGTCACCAAATGATAAAAAAGATGTTGAGACTCTAGAAAAAGTACAGAGAAGAGCAACCAGGATGATTAGGGGACTGGAGGCTAAAACATACGAAGAACAGTTACAGGAACTAGGCTTGGCTAGTCTAGTAAAGAGAAGGACCAGGGGAGACTTGATAGTGGTCTTCCAATATTTGAGGGGCTGCCACAGGGAGGAAGGGGTCAAGCTATTTTTTAAAGCTCCTGTAGGCCAGACAAGGAATAATGGATGGAAAGTGAACAAGGAGAGATTCAACCTGGAAACAAGGAGAAACTTTCTGACAGTGAGAACAATCAACCAATGGAAGAGAAGTTGCCCTCGGAAGTTGTGGGAGCGCCATCAGTTGAGACTTTCAAGAAGAGATTGGACTGCCATTTGTCAGAAATGGTGTAGGGTCTCCCGCTTGGGCGGGGGGTTGGACTAGATGACCTACAAGGTCCCTTCCAAATCTGATTATCTGTATCTGTATTAAAGGAATGTGACGGTTGTTCAATGAACTCATTACAGGTAGTCCTCCACTAATGACCAAATTTGAGCCCCAAATTTCTGTTGCTAATTGAGACACTCATTAAGTGCATTTTGCTCCATTTTATGACCTTTCTTGTCACAGTTGCCAATAAATCCCTAACACAGTTGTTAAGTGAATCTCATTTCTCCATTGATTTTGCTTGCCAGAAGGTTGCCCTGCAACTGTCATAAATATGAATCAGTGGCCAAGCCTCTGAATTTGGATGACTTGACCATGGGGATGTTGTAATGGCTGTAAGTGTGAAAAATGGTCATGAGTCACTTTTTTCAGTGCCATTGTAATTTGGAATCATCACTAAATGAATTGTTGTAAGTCAAGAACTACCTTCATATCCAGGGGGGTCTTTCTTTCTTGGAACTGGAAGTAAACGCTGGAAAATGGCCAAAAAACCCAAAAAGGTCATAATGTGTATTCATATGACTGTAGGTTGCTGCAAACGGCCATAAATACAAACCAGTTGAACCAAGCGCCTAAATGTGATCATGTGACCACAGGGCTAAAGGTCAGCTCTTGGAATTTTGAAACTTGGTCATAAGTGACCAGTCACAAGTCAAGAGCTTCCTTTATAGCTTTCAAATATACTAAAGGCAGGACTCTTCTTTTCAATCAGTCAAATAGTTGGAAGGGACCTTGGAGGTCTTCTAGTCCAGCCCCCTGGTCAAGCAAGAGACCCAATACCATTTCAGACAAGTGGCTGTCCAGTCTCTTCTTAAAAACCTCCTGTGATGAAGCACCCACCACTTCTGAAGGCAAAGCTGTTCCTTAGTTCCAGGTTGCTTCTCTCCTTGATTAGTTTCCATCCATGGCTTCTTGTACTGCCTTCTGGTAGTTTGGAGAATAGATTAGGTTAGGTTAGGTTAGATTAGACTAGATTAGATTAACAGAGTTAGAAGGGACCTTGTGTTCTGACCCAAACCCTTTTCCAATAAAACAAACACGAACCAAAGGGAACAGAAACCTTTTAATGATTCTTACAAATCCCCGGTTAAAAGGCTGCTGCAAACTTTGATAAGCACAAACCTTGCCAAAACTGTGCGAGGCTTGCCAAGAATAACAGATAAGAAATATTTCACAAGAGTCTTCAGAAACCAACTTAAGATATTGCAATGTCCACAAGGCTGGAGTTTCAAAACGTTTTTTGCTTCGTGCAAAGAACATCCGATTCACAGCCGGCTTTTATCTTCTTGAAGGAGGGGCCATTACCTTGCAGCCTTACTCCCGAGTCGCCCGTGCTGTTGCAGCTGCTGTTTCATACGAGCAATCCTGCGCGCACGCATACTTGGCACAGGCTACTCAGGAACCTCCTCATCGCTGCTGCCAGCCCCCACAATCTCTGAAGGCAGCAGTCCACTCCCTAATGGTCCTGACCCCTCATCTGAGTCCTCGCTCTCCTCAGCTGTCCGCACCTGCTGCCGGCTAACCACAACATTCCCAGGCAATAGACCCTACCCCATTTCAGACCGATGGCAGTCCAGTCTCTTCTTGCAAGCCTCCAGTGATGAAGCTCCCACTACTTCGAAAAGCAACTTCTGTTCCATTGGTTGATTGTTCTCACTGTCAGAAAATTTCTCCTTATTTCTAGGTTCAGTCTGTTTCCATCCATTATTCCTCGTCTGGCTTTCGAGCGCTTTGGAAAATAGCTTGGCCCCTTCCTCTCTGTGGCAGCCCCTCAAATATTGGAACAATGCTATCATATCACCCTTAGTCCTTCTTTTGTCTAGAATAGCCAGACCCAAATCCTGCAACCATTCCTCATATCTTTTAGTCTCCGGTCCTATAATCCTCTTAGTTGCTCTTCTTTGCACTTTTTCCAAAGTCTCGACATCTTTTTTGTAATGTGGTGACCAAAAAAAAAAAAAAAAATCTGGCATCTTTCCTATTTTGTTCAATGATTATCTTAATGGATATGACAGTGTTTTTTTTTCTCTTAATCTTACCTCTGTTCTTAGGATGACAATTCCCCAGATTCTGAGATAAGGATTCAGCTCATTTCTCTTCCGATGTACGGCAGTCTTATGCGGACAGCCTTTGGAGGGCAATCGGATGAGTCTTCGGAGGTCTATAATTTCACAATGGAAGACATTAACCAGCAAAGAATCAGGTAAACGTTTGCGGCTGCGCCTAAGAATTTTCTCCAATTTTCTCATAATGAACGTCACAAGGCTTGTGACGTTCATTATGAGAAAATTGGAGAAAATTCCAATTTTGTGTGTGAAAATTCCTGCGTGTGATATGTGTGAACTTCTTCAAAAACAGGCCCTAGCGCTCTTTCTCTTGAATAGTTGCAGAGGTGGTATTCAGCAGGTTCTGGAGAACCGGTAGCGGAAATATGGAGTAGTTCGGAGAACCGGCCAATCCCACCTCTGACTGGCCCCGCCCCCATCTCTTCTCTGCCTCCCATTGAGTCCCAGCTGATTGGCTGGGTCTCCTTTGGTTGCCCTGCACGGGAGAACGGAGCTGGAAAGCAGGTTAGTGGAGTGGGAAGGCAATGGGGATTTTGCAGTATATCCTTCCCCCAGGAATGGGGAGGGAATGGGGATTTTACAGTATCCTTCCCCTGCCACGCCCACCAAGCCACGCCACACCACGCCCAGCAAGCCACACCTACAGAACCGGTAGTAAAAAAAATGTTGAATCCTACCACTGAATAGTTGGTGAGTTGGCAATTGAAATATTCAGGGTTTTATTGCACATTCTATACTCTGCTAGGGTGTGTGTGAAGGTTGGAACGAATGAAACTGGGAAGCAGGAACTATAGAAATGAAAAAAAGAAAATTCCTGAAAGAAAAGACATCGGTTCTTAAGGTATATTTTTCCCTTAAAAACAAGAGTCGTGACCTTAACGGCTGAGAGAAAAAAAAGATTAGGGAGAGATTTGAAAAAGTACCAGTCTTCAGAGTCTTCCCCCCCAAGCTATTCTTCTTTTGAGATTCTCTGATTTATCATTTAATGCTGGAGGCAAATATAGGTTTCCACCCCCCCCGCAAAAAAAAGGATAATTGAAATCGGTGACCTTCATACAGAACAGAAAAGCATGGGTCTACATGAGAGGCATGGACTTCCGGCAGGAGTGATTTAATATTTTTTTTAGCCTGCCTTTATGACTTTTATAAATCAATCAATACTTATTTATAAAAAAAACCTAATGCTCCATCCTCCTCCTATTTTCCCCATTAAAAAAAAACTCTGAGGTGGGACGGGCTAGAGAGAATGACTGGCTCAAAGTCTTCTAGCTGTCTTTTCATGCTTAAGATGAGACTAGAACTCATAGACTCCCAGAGTCACACTACTCAGCTTTCATGCCTCACACGGAACTGGAACTCGGTCTCTTGAAAATTGGCTTTAAATCATCCCGCTGGTTTCCATGCCTGAAGAGAGACTAGAACTCGGTCTCCTGGTGGTTGGCCCAAAGTCACCCAGCTGTTCTGGCCTAGGCTTCCCCAACAGCATGAAGCCGACTCCTCGTCCCGATAAACCCCTTTTATTTCGTCTACAGTGAATTCCTCTCCAGCAAAGTCCTGGCCCACAGTCTTTCAAGAGGATTCACAATTACAAACCTTTATCAGGCTTGGAGAGTTGCCAGGCCGATATCCTTCAGACGCTACACTGTAGCAAGAATGCAGGAACAGATCTTCACCCAAATGAACTAATTGTCTCCTGCAAAACCCCACTCCCCTTTTGCTCCTCTTTTATTCCCTATGGGAGGGGCCACTCACCGTCCACCTGTGCCTTTACTCCCAAGTTGACCTTGTTCCTTAGCTGTTCCCTTCTTCTAGCAGCTCTGTGCATGCACGTACTGGGAACAGGCTCCAGCTGTTCTTCTGCCTCACTGATGTCCGACTTTGAAGGCAGCTGATAACTGTCAGATGGCCCTGGCCCCATCTCTGCCTCCGACACAGAGCACTCGCCAGAGCCTTCCCCAGACTCCAGGACTGGCCCTTGTTCCTCCCCAACATCTTCACTGTCCAAATCTGCTGGCCGCTGGTGGGCCATAACACCAGCCAGCTTTCATGCCTCAGTCAGAACTAGAACTCAGTCACCTGGAGATTGTTCCTAAATCACCCAGCTGGTTTTCATGCCTCGAGGGGAACCAGAACTCACAGTCTCCTGGTGATCGGTACCGCTGGCTTTCATGCCTAAGGCAAGACTAGAACTCACAGTCTCCTGGAGATCGACCAAAAATAACCCAGCTGGCTTTCATACCTAAGGCAGGATTAGCACTTACACTCTTTTGATTTCTAGCCTGAACAAAGACAGCTGAATTCTGAACACTATGAATTATTTTATAAGGAGGAATGGGGGTGTTTCTCTTTGGGGACCGTGAGATTCTCCATCAATCCTTAAAGCCTGTCCTGCTAGATCTTACTTGCTCAGTGTCGTGAATACAAGCAATGGCACCATTATATTTGGTGTCTTTGGGGGCACAAAGAAAAGACCGTTCACGATTGGGACATGTTCATTTGTTTTTATCCTGAAGGATGTGCTTTTAGCAAGAACAATGGGTTTTCATCCAGACCTGGTGACATTGGGTGGCCTTCAAAGAAGTGGGCCAGTAGAAATTGGGAAAATAGTATTATGTATAGTGGAGACATAATACTGTAGAATACGTTATAATTATTATGTATATGTAAATGTTAGAAGTTGAAAGATTATTATTTATACCTAGATAGTATTATTATTGTTATTACTATTGTGTATAATATACATTAACCCAGACAATTTACTGTTCACTAAGCACTTATGGATGCTTAGGTAGGTAGGTAGGTAGGTAGGTAGAGATATAGATAGATAGATAGATAGATAGATAGATAGATAGATAGATAGATA